GTGGTAGTAGCAGTAATAGTGGTAGTAGCAGTAATAGTAGTAGTAGCAGTAATAGTGGTAGTAGCAGTAATAGTAGTAGCGGTAATAGTAGTAGCAGTAGTAATAGTAGTAGCAGTAGTAATAGTAGTAGTAATAGTGGTAGTAGTAGTAGTAGTAATAGTAATAGTAGTAGCGGTAGTAGCAGTAGCAGTAGTAGTAGTAGCAGTAGCAGTAGTAGTAATAGCGGTAGTAGTGGTAGTAGCAGTAGTAATAGTGGTAGCAGTAGTAATAGTGGTAGTAGCAGTAATAGTGGTAGTAGCAGTAATAGTAGTAGTAGCAGTAATAGTGGTAGTAGCAGTAATAGTAGTAGTAACAGTAATAGTAGTAGTAACAGTAATAGTAGTAGCAGTAGTAATAGTAGTAGCAGTAGTAATAGTAGTAATAGTAGTAGTAGTAGTAGTAGTAGTAGTGGTAGTAATAGTAGTGGTAGTAGTAGTAATAGTAGTGGTAATAGTAGTAGTAGTAGTAGTAATAGTAGTGGTAGTAGCAGTGGTAATAGTAGTAGCGGTAATAGTAGTAGCGGTAATAGTAGTAGCGGTAATAGTAGTAGCGATAATAGTAGTAGCGGTAATAGTAGCAGTAGTAGTAGCGGTAGTAGCAGTAGCAGTAGTAATAGTAGTAGTGGTAATAGTAGTAGTAGTAGTAGTAATAGCGGTAGTAGTGGTAGTAGCAGTAGTAATAGTGGTAGTAGCAGTAATAGTGGTAGTAGCAGTAATAGTAGTAGCAGCAGTAATAGTAGTAGCAGTAGTAATAGTGGTAGCAGTAATAGTAGTAATAGTAGTAGTGGTAGTAGCAGTAGTAATAGTGGTAGTAGTAATAGTAGTAGTAGTAGTGGTAGTAGTAGTGTACAATTATACAGAAAATGTAACACAAGCGCGCCACAACCAAAAAAACATTACAGTTGAAAGACTTTTTAAAGTAAGCTAATCAATAAGGCTATGAACGTGGAGATGAGCAAAGTGGACGGGAGCAGCAGCAAAACATACGTTATCCACCTAAAAAATATGGATATCAGTGTACGTCATATGTAGAATGTTGTCACCGTGTCGTCAGACAGCCGTTTCCGACGGGGAGCTGAAGCAGTTAAATCTCTGTCTTCAAAGCCACAAGAATTCTTTGACAAAAGCGATAAGCTGGTCTACTGCTGCCGTGATCAGTTAGTTTGTGTTATTTTGGATCCAAAATAAATTGGAGTCAACAGCGGTACATTGCTAAGCTTTGGTGCCGGTGTTGTACTCCTGTCTGCTTCTATACATAGCAACGTAAGGGCACATGGGAAAAGGTAAGGTATACATAAGGAACACCACTGGGAGGCTACAGCATGATATAAAAACCTAAAAACATAAATAATGGACCCGCCCTTTAACAGCAGCGCTCCACAACATCATCAGCAACAATCCAGGCTGCTGCTGTGAGGTGGATCTGTGCACCTCTGTATGACCGACACTGAACTTTGGAGCAATGCATGAAATACACCACAGCTGTCTATGAACCTCACCTGTTGCCGTAAGCCGTGGAATGTGCCGATTGGCTCGGTGTCTTTGTGTACTGTGACATCATCTTTGTACACGTGGATGTCATCGCCATCACTCTGGGCACGCCAGAACCCCACCAGGCCCCGCCCCTTCAGACTACCGCTGTCAATCATCTGGTTGAGCAGCCGCTGGGCGTCATCGAAGACCCGGCCAGCCTCCGCACCTGCAGGAAGTATATATTGCTCACGGTCAGACACGGTTTCACCTCCTGTGACGACGAGGCTGGGACTTCCTCTGACTCACTACTGATAATGTGTATGTGTTGTCGTAGTAGTACACTTATTTGAGCTTTCAGGATTATGTCACTGGTTTCACTGCACTACTCACCAGACACTGTACCTTCCACAAGCACGTGCATTCACAATATATACAATGGAGTGCAGAAACAATTTTGTAAAAAGTTGGAGCGTTCTGCCGCTCCAATTTTGCTTTGGTACCACTCGCACCATGAGTTCCAAACCACGCCCACCAGAGACTGACCCAGAATGCATCTGTGGGTTGTGCACGGCGGCTGCGTAGGATAGTTTCAGACTTGTGTGATCCAAACATCCCCAATAACTCCAGAGTGTTGTGAAGTCAACATTTATTGAAAAAAAAAAAAGATAGATGTAATAATTTCCAAAATGTTTTTGTCTAACGAAATGTTTAGCCTTTCAAAAACATGTTGTCAAAAACCTGTTTGCTGTCCCGCCCACACAAAGGAGGCGCCTATTAAACGAAAATGACAATTTATATTCATAAAAGAAAGTTGAATGAATAGAAATAAAATAGATCAGCTCGTAAAATCTGATGAATCACTTTATCTCAATTTAGAATTTTGTTGGAGGATTTTTTTGTTAGGTTGATGACGTCATATTTTATGGAATTCAAAGCTTCATTAAAACCTGAATAGAAGCTTTGAATAAAAAAACAGCATTAGTTACAGCAGCAATGCAGCTTGTCTCTGTAGTGGAGCGAGTGGTGAGCGATTGACCTCTGAGCCGAGCGTGCAGCGATGTTTAGCGGAGCGGCTTTGAGAGGAGAGCACCCAGCTCTCCACTCCGCTCACATGCCCTGGTTAACATCCAGTAACATCTCTTTATGGTAATCCATAATGAATGGTTTACCTTTTAGTGAATAATGATATTCAAACGTGAGCCAAATAAAGGATTTTACTTTGAACCATGATAACTTGATTATTTCCTTATGATAGATTAGAAGGAAATATATAATAAACTACAGTATTGAATCATCTTCATTCTTGCTGATATACAGAACTGAGTGTTGACATCGCCGAACGGAAAATGCACGATCAACATTCACGTAGCACGACGGACGCTTGTGGTGTGTTGGTGAAGCTCGTACCGACGGTCTTGTCGTTGAATATCTTGGGGTAGCCTCTGTTGGGGTATTTTCCTCTCAGCTGCCACACATCGAAGAAAGGCTTCCAGTCGATGAAGTCCAGCAGACTGTTCAGGTCGTAGCACTCGAACACACGGGTGCCCAGGAACTGAGGACGCACTGAAACACAAAGACGAGGAAAGAGCACACTTGGTTTTTAAAAGGTCCATGCAGAAAATGAACATTTCCAGTATTGAGGGAGCTGCAATGTTCTCGCTCGGGGCAACTCCTCAGCATCAATGTGCGTCCACTGGAAGAGTTGCTCTTTGCCCCTGAGAGGCTCTGATTGTTATTATAGGTGTCTTTATGACAAAGAAGAGAGAAATGAAAGCTTCTTCTTTACCTGCGTCCTGATCCGGTCTGCTTGTTATCGTGTCATGTGACTTGATGAACACGGTGGGAAGGTGAGTAGCAGAGAGGAGAGCCGCTGCTGTCAGTTTGTTGAGTTGGTGTTTTCTAAAAGATGTTCAATGTCATGGCTGAATATCGAGCTGACTTCCACAATGTGGATGAGGACAGATTTCAATAGGACATTTGTCCTCGAGTTAGACTCAACAACAGACAGGAAGTGAAAGGTTCTTTCCGTAATGTTATCAGACACAATCTGAGCCCGTCGGAGACAAGAACAACACTTCTAGTGGACGTACATTGACGGTGAGGAGTTGCCCCGAGCGAGTACATTGCAGCTCTGTAATGACTTTGGATTTAATTGATCTGAGCTAACTTACCTGGTCTGGGCAGAGAGAGCCAGTCGATATGTAAAGCCTTGTCTCTGGCCTGGGAAAGAGACAGATACCTACGATCCTGAGGATGAAGAGGAAGGCAAGGCAATTACATTCATGCAACACATTTCAGCACAAGTAAACTCAATTGGCTAAAGTTAATATTTATGTGCAAACACACATACAACCCACTGAGAAAAATTCAGGACATTAAATGATTGGATATCATTAGTAGCAAACAGATGTGTAGGTCTAGAACAGGAAGAGAACAATGCACAGTGTCAAAGTGTGATGCATGCATGATTGTCTGGGACATTTCAGTATGTCATGGCAGTTTGGAAATATCTATTTCTCCAACTTCTCTTTTTCTGTGACCAAATGATTTGAACATACTAAGTTGCAGTACATTAAAAACACTGATGGCATAGAAAAGACAGTTGTATATGTCACCGTTGGTGACTGATGACTCGGGGAAGAAAGTCAAGTGATGAAAGAGTCGATGAGAGGGAGGAGGAGCTTAAATGGGTGGTTTGACGAGACGTGAGGCGCTCTGTCACCTGGTCCACACCGACTCCAGTAGAAACACACACAGCGGGATATCTGTGTGATTAAACAGCTGTCTGTTCAGATCACGCTTCACTAAACGTGAGAAAAATAGACTTGGAGAAAAGTCGGAGGGCGTGAGTGACGATTGATACATTTAATAAAATGGAAGTGTATCTATTCTGTGAGACGGACGTCAAAAAGCTTTTCTGAAAACGCTTTCTGTATGGATTGAGTCAGACCATCTTCTGTCACGTGTTCCTGTTCACTTGTGCGATACCTTTGTGATGACTCTTCAACGTACTCCACTAGTACACAATAGAAGGTCAAGATGAAGTTTCTTTTACTGGGAAGATACACATGGCGTTCTAGCTCTGTGCAATGTGCTGAAACTATCACATTATGTGCTACTGCTATCTGGTGTTGGCCTTTGGTTTACATCAGTAACAACCACTTATTTAACATATCAAAAATAGGGACAGCAAAAGGTGCACCCCAAAATGAATACATTTTAAATATTTGTTGCATTAGTTATATTTGAATATTGCTGGTACAATCAGAACCAGACTGAATGGGTTGCAGAGTGTGTGGTCAAAACAATATTGTATTCATAATGAATACATAAATTATAATATTTTGAAATGCTTAGCTATCCGATGTTGACTCAGACGTGAAAGACACGCAGTAACCCAGCCTATGTCATGGGAAAAATGACCTGAACAACTCCCATGGTGCATCACACTCAAAGCAAATCACACTGAACTACAAACACTTCCTTCCTCCCAGAAAGACACAGACAATAACCAATAACTGGACTCCAGACCATGATGTTCATACTCAGGTATTTATGAGAGTAATGTGTTCTGAATGCAGGAATGGAAAGGTGTGTATATTTTGAACATATATCTGTTTTTGAAAAATACATTTGCTTGATTTGAATTCTATAAAAGTGGGTCCATGGGAAGATGCGTCTCCCAAGGGGAGACCAGTTGTGAACCAGTGCACTAGACCATCTTCAACATTAGAGTGGTTTAAAGAATAGTTGTGGAAGAACTATGGATTTCAGCACCCACGAGAGATACTGTGTAGTAAAGACGATGTCATTTATGAACATATCTCAGAGATGACCAACGAGTACTGTGTGTGCGTTAACAGCCTGATACATCTTCTCCCTTAATGAGCCACTCAGTCCCACACACACCCTCCCGCTGCCACAAACACTCACTAGAGCAGCAAATGTGGATTAATCCGCCACTGAAAATAGTCCCAAACAAATACCCTATTTTTTACTGTTTTACCGTTTCAATAACTACAACGACCAGCTGTTTTAGGAGGTTTTTGGATTAAAAAGTAAACCGAACTGTTTTTAAATGATTTATGATAAAGGTTCAAGAGACGTGGATGCAATGCTGACGGTTGCCTATGTGGGTCACAGGACACAGAGGTGTAAAACCCCCTCTAGTGCATACCTTACTGGGCCTTTCCACCAGCCATTCTTACCTTCAGGGAGTCGTAGTGCTCCTGCCTGATGTCTTCATACTCCTCTTTCAGGTCCTCAAAGTACTCCTCCCTCATTGCCTCATCCAGGAGCTGCGAGCACTGGCAGACAGGAATACAAGCAGCAGAAAACACACTTGTTGGGACTGTAGTGACTCACATCAACTAATATCAACTCCCTGCATTGAGAGATTATTGCCCCCCCTGAGGAGGTTCTATTCCCACTTCCCTCAGTGAAAGACAGAATGTAATGTAATGCCTTCTTAGACTGTTTCAAAGGAACACACTTTTGTTGTAGGTTTCTCAATGCATTCTTGGACATTTTCTAATATATTTTCTCATGAACTGCTGGACCTGAAAATCCTCCGGCACGTCATCATATGTGTCCAAGATCAAAGCAGCCAGGGTATTTTAAAAGACACGAATGGGCTTTCATTCAAATCCATTTGTAAAATAAACATGTTTTTATATTTCTAAATGCATTTCTATCCATGACTAATGAATGCCATTGGGTTTTCTGAAGCCCGAGGGGGAGGGAAAAGTGCTCCGTCTTACCACCACCACACTCCTGGAGGCGTCCAGAACATGGATAGCAGGAGAAGTGTAGCGAGGGGCGATCTTCACCGCTGTATGCGTCCTATCAAAATGCAAAACACACAAATTACCCAAGAGACCGCTGCATAATATCAACATGTTATGGTCAGCAGGGGAGGTCCACCTTACAATAACTACTTACTTTTCAAGAAATGTCACCATTATTAATTCAATAACTATCCATATAGATCAGTGTGAGAAATACGTGGGGTCTCAGGGCTCACTTCAGACCCACTGACAGCCTCAACAGCAAAATGGTGGGGGTCTCCAATATCATAGGACGAATACTGGTCACTTGCAATTGTCACTAAAATGTCTTTTAAATGGTTACTGATCTCCAGCAGTTTATCATCATTCAAAGTGCAAAGCATTTATTCACAAATATGAAGAGCCCTAAATGTCACAGCCAACCGGAGACGCAACAGAAGCAGGAAGCGAGTCGGTCTTCGACCCCGTTTGGACAAATGTGATCGAGAAGAATGTTTCTTTGTGTTACTTTGATGTGGTGGCTCCTCCAATCAGCAGCGGCGTTGTCATTCCCAGTCTCTCCATCTCTTTGGCAACGTAGATCATCTCATCCAGAGAGGGGGTGATGAGACCAGACAAGCCAATGATATCTGCAGGAACAGAGCAAAACATCCCACATGATGCTGCTGACATTATAAAAGAACAACAAGCAGTACAGCCACAATCATTTCAAGCATTGGATTCATTTGGAACATTGGCTACAGGGCAAAGTCAGGGTCTTCTTTTTGTGAAAGTAATATAAATATTATTATTATATCATCTAGCAAATAATAAATTATGATTGTAGTGTTAGTATCATGATAGAGCACAAAGCCAATGATCACTTATAATTCCCTTGTTAGGATGAATGTGTCAACAATGAACATTTAACTCATTGAATAGTCTTTTATTTGATGTATGGTTAAAAGCTCTGTATTTTACTGCGGTATCTTTGATGATCACTTCTAGCATCTTCTTAGGAGAATTACTTGGAAATAAAAAAGCAGCTAAAGGATTTCCCCCCCCCGAACATGCAGATGAGTTGTGGGACAGAGGAGAGTGGAGTTAGTCTTCCTCATGAGCTGCACACAACCTTAACGGCCTCCACCAAGAAGGTACGGCAGCTTTTACATTGCCTTAGAGGCCCAATCCAGGCCCAAAAAAGTTAGGTAATCACTCGCTACTGCTTGAACTGTCAAGTGTAAATGCTGGTATGCTCATATCTGGAGGCCACTTAGATGAGCATCTTTAACATTTTGATCGACTCAGAGCTTCTTGATTTCATAAAGTGGAGGGGAAATTGCACCCATTGGTGTGCAATGTGTATTTCTGCTGAGCCGAATGGGTCTGCATGTTGTACTTTAAACCAGAGGCAGTAGTGCAGCAGCTCTCTGGGCCTTTTGTGTCTAAAAGCAATTTTCTAAAAGAAAATATTTATGAAATCAAATAATTTTCTCGGCTAATTCTAATTCGTAAAAATATGTTCCGTGGTCATCGCAGGCTGATGATATGTAATCTAAAGTGTCCACAGTACCTGCTTTCTGTGTGACGGCCTCTCTGAGGATCCGATCACAGGAAACCATCACGCCCAGGTCTATCACTCTGAAAGACAAGAAAAATCCAAGATCTCTGTTCATTTCCTTCTTCTGGATTTTAAGGGTGTTGAATTCGATATTCAGAGCATTGACGAGCAGAGAGAATTACTCTCCCTATTTGTGTGTTGTAATCTGAGCTTCTCTGTGTTTTGTTTACATAGTGGGTCCGGCCGTGCGTTCATGTCAGTGCATGCGAGTCCCTGTGTGTGTGCACCACTGGCTAGCTAATGGCTGCTGCTCTGCACTGCTCTCACATGGCGGTTACAGCCGATAACGTCATGGAAGCGTAGCACCAACCCTCGGGTTCCCCCTCAGGTAAACACGGTTAGCTCCGTCAGCACTGTTGCCGTTGGTGACACTGTGAGTGCTGTTGGCAACGTTACCCGACAGCCCCCGGCTCAGCACACACCATGTGGAGGGAATCCTTAAACAATAGATGTGCCACCAGAACAAACCACACTGCTAATGCTACTAGCGTTCCATTTCAGTTACCTTGCACGCAGAGTGCATCAATAACCTGAGTCTGCTCAAAAAGCATGTGCTGACATGGTGATGGAACTGTAAACATTCAGCAGTAAATCAGTTTTACCTGAAGTTGTTGCAACCCAGCACCACACCTACAATGTTCTTGCCAATATCATGGACGTCTCCCTTCACTGTAGCCAGCACTATGGTGCCCTGATAGGGATCCTGCAGACCAAGGAGAAAACAGAGGAATTGAAGGACCAGAGAACAGGATGAAAACCGTCCATGTTTTAAAGTTGTAGTTTATCATGAAGCTGCTCTCTTCTCTCTTTATCATTTTCCTCCATATTTTAGGCACTGCAACTACTTCAGCTTAATTTGCACAGATGTCCTGAACCAGTCTTAAAGAGCCAGCATGTAGCATTTTAGGGGATCTATTAGCAGAAAGTAATGAATATTGTATTCCCTATGTTTTCATTTGTGTGTAATCACCTGAAACTAAGAATGGTTGTCTGTCCTCAGATCTACATAGGGAATGGGTCCACCATGTTGCTACGGTAGCCCAGAACGGACAAACCAAACACGGGCTCTGGAGACCCTTATGTTTTTAGGTTACACCTGAAGGCCACCGTAGTTTCCAGACACGCTTGTGAAACTTCCGTAACGTGAGCCGCAGAGGGCAACACCGTGGTACCACCAGCCTCCTTCTGACTTCTGTTGCTGCTTAAGTAGAGTTATTATGGACCTGATTTTTATTTTCAGAAATCAATGAATGTACCATAGATAATAGATCACTCCCTAGGTATAGTTTTTTTTTTTTTTTTTGTTTTCTTTGTGGTTTCTGTTTTTTTTTTTTTATCCGTTATTTCCTTGTTCTATATGCGTTATAACAAAAATGAGCATCATCTGAAAATCTTCACATGCAATGTACATTGTCTGAAAGACATTTGTAAATGCTTAATTGATGCCCAATATCAATAAAAAAAAAAAATTAAAAAAAAATTAAAAATTAAAAAAAAAGTTGAGTTATTATGGTATGGACTCTGAGCGGGGTAATGGCACTACCACGGTTTTGCACTCTGTGGTCATGTTACCACAGTCTTGTAAAGGGAGGAGAGGGGAGGGGTATTGGGTTGGTTGCCATCTGCACTGTGCCTTTAAGGGTCGGGAATGAGGCCTCTGCAGTCATTTTTTGACAGATCGTAATGCCAACAAGAAACAAATTCATTTTCCATCTTTGGTTTGTTAGCACCAAATAAACCGCTGGAACCCCTCCACACAACCAGCATTGTTAGCATATGAACTTTAGTATTCCGTTTATGATGGAGATGAAGAGACGCCTTCTAAATCCAATCCATGGATATCAAACAACATCTTATAGGAAACTATACTTTATTACAGAAAACCATGAAGGAAAAGGTGTGCGCTTTTCTATATTGAATGTAGACCGATGCAAATAATGTGGAACCAAACTCACAAGCGTGAGTTCAGCCTGGACACTTCTATTAGCCGAACGCTGTTAGCACCTGTAAGTTATTTGGGACTTCCTCCCTAAAGCCTACATAAATGAATTAGCTTTTTTAGGTTTAACAGATATATGCTACGTTGAATTACCATGGTAACATCACATGGTCTCATGGGAAAAGACTTCATGATCTTCCTAAGAATATCGTGGTCAAAATGAGAGCAAATGCATCCTTATTAAGTGGAGACTGACCAATTCCTCAGTTGACCCCGACAATGCCATCATCTCCTCCCTCTCCTTCTCCATGAAAGGAATCAGATAGCCCACCGCCTTCTTCATAACGCGAGCCGACTTGATCACCTGCAAACACACAAGGACTCAAAGTCGTATTACCGTTTCCTCCAAAATAAACAAAATATACATTTGTCTTATAATTTGTATTGAAGTCTATGAGAAAATGACTCTACTTCTCTCTTGATTTATTACCTCAGTAAACATTGTAAACATGAGTTTATGGTCTCAATCTCTAGTTTCAAGTCTTCTTCAATACAGCATGATGTTCATTTAGTGTCAAACAGACCATAAAGATGATGCTAGATGATGCTTTAGGGCGGGGCTACTGTGATCGGCAGAATCTGAGATAGATATATCGATATCTATATATCGATATATATCTATAGATATCTAGATA